GCAGCCTGAAGCGGTACAGTCCTGAGGGGACCGTATCTCACATTTCTTTTTAAAAGTTTGATATGGTTTTAATGTTCATTGTAATCCATTCAAGCAGGAACCACGTTTTGTACAGAGGCTGACACACTTGGGAGGGACTAATTAAATGTAAGGACTACTTTGTGCTAATACATTTACTGAAGTGTATTCACAAATTTGATAATAGTCCCGAAGAGATGGGATACCTTTACTTTTAATGAAAAGTCTACTTTGTGCTAATACATTTACTGAACTGTATTCACAAATTTGATAATAGTCCCAAAGAGATGGGATACCTTTACTTTTAATGAAAAGAACGAAAAGCAGAAAAAAATTCAACTTAAAACTGTGTTTGTTATGCCTTGACTGCCTCAAACAAACTGCTAAACAAACTTCCAAAGTTTCATTTTCTCTTTGAAGTAGACTGCCAAATTACTGTTCAATCCAGTACTGTATTCAGTGTTTCTTCATCTAGCTGGCAAAAGAGCTGCACAGCTGCCGCGACTGAACCCATTCAATGAATGCTGTGACTCAAGTCATCCTATTTATTTAATATGAGCAGGGGTGGGAGGAAGGGAAACGTGATGTGGCTATTTCAAGGATGTTCTTCAGCATGTCTTATGCTGTGTCTGTTTCAGAATTTTATCTGGCTGCCATTCTGATTATTGGCTCTACTTGTTGTTTTCAGATAAATTTTGTGCTTTCCAAAATTCATTAGGGTTTGGCGTATGTCATCTTTTAGTTTAATTCAGTGAGACTTCATATGCTTGAAGTGTCTTGCTGGCTTTCCATAAATCTCAGGAAAATCAATAATCATCATAAGTGTAAGTGTGTATAATGGGTTGGATGGGTAGCCAAAATGATGTGACTTACTGGTGGGATTGTGTGCCCCAAGCCTTTTATCTTTTTAATACATGACCTGACATAGTGAAAATGACCATCTTTGGGACATGATTCTTGCAAATTATATCTAAATCTCAAATAGTATTTTGTTAAAAACATTTATGCTACCATGTGCTAGATAGACTACACAAGTTATCAGAGAAACATTTTGAGCCTTTTGAGTTTTGAAAAATTCATTTGTACTCTATTGTGCTGCAGATTGCAGTAATGCTCCAATATTTTGTTGAGTCCCTCTTTTCAAACAGAAATGTGCTATAAATCTGCTAATGTCTGTATTCCTACTCACTGCAATGGGAATGGGTACTGCAATTCCGCTGTCTAGATTGTTTCCATTGTATGACCAGATCTTTGAGATATTTCACATGTCTTCTACACAGCTGGGATAAAATTCATTTCTGTTTTAGCAATAAATGTATGGTGAGGGAAGGAAATGCTTTATGTTAGGTTTTCACTCTACAACTTAGTCTCTTGGGGCATTTTCTATGAAGTATGATAGACTCCTGCTATTAGATAACACTGAATAAGGATCCATGCAATGTTTGTTCCATCACACTTTTGAACTGGCCTTATTGTTTCCATGTGTTTTTTTTCCTAGTGAAAATCACTTACCTGTAAAGTGAGTCTTGTGTATGCCAATGTGTAGAGCACGGAAATGGAGGGAGACACTGAGCTCAGTGATATCCTACAGATAGGATAGACCCTCCCTGCCCCCAAGGAACAGGGACAACCCTAAACAAAGTGTGCAGATTGCCTCCATCTTACAAGAATGGTGGTGGTAGCAACCAGCATGAGCCTTTGATCACTAGGCTTTAGAATGAAGTGGAAGATGGGCTGCTCCCTTTCCTTCAGCTTGGGATCTAGAGGAGGGCATTGTGCTGAGGGAAGACCATGCCATCAGGAATGCATTGTCCAAATCCATTCAAAGATCCTTCATACTATAGAAGAAACATCCCTTTTCCAGAGAAAGAATGTAAATTATTATTTTTCAAATTTTATTTCTGTAGGCTGCCTTTCTCCTGGGGATGTGACACAGGGCAGCTAAGAAAGTTAAAACAGGTCAAACTGAAAACAATCAATTACGGATTAAAAGCAATTAAATGGTTTAGGTATCTGGCTGCAGATCCAGAGGTTGGGAATTCGATTCCTCACTGTGCGTTCTTGATATGGGCTGGACATGATGATCCATAGGGTCCCATCCAGCTCTGTGATTCCGAGATTTTATCATATCATATTATACCACACTAGTAATTAAAATCCATTAAGTAATTTTAGAACATTTAAGACTACATAATCGAAACTTTGACAGGGGTGGGACTCAGTTAGGACAAGCCTTCCTGAAGTGATGGGTCTTCAACTATTGGCAGAAAGATAAGAGGGAGAGGGCCCACCTGATGTCTAAAGGGAGAGCATTCCACAAACTGAGAGCAACCACAGAGAAGAGCCTCATCTGTAGATTTTAAGGGCCTGGAAGACTCATATGGAGAGATACAATCCTTCAGATAGCTTGGACCCAAACCATATAGGACTTTATAGGTGATAGCTAGCACTTTGAATTGGGTCTAGAAACAGACTGATAGCCAGCGCAAAGGTGTTATTGTCGTTTAGTCGTGTCCGACTCTTTGTGACCCCATGGACCAGAGCACGCCAGGCCCTCCTGTCTTCCACTGCCTCCCGGAGTTGTGTCAAATCCATGTTGGTAGCTTCGATGACACTGTCCAACCATCTCATCCTCTGTCATCCCCTTCTCCTCTTGCCCTCACACTTTCTCACTATCAGAGCCTTTTCCAGGGAGTCGTCTCTTCTCATGAGGTGGCCACAGTATTGGAGCCTCAGCTTCAGGATCTGTCCTTCCAATGACCACTCGGGTTTGATTTCCTTTAGAATTGATGGGTTTATTCTCCTTGCAGTCCAGGGGACTCTCAAGAGTCTCCTCCAGCACCACAATTCAAAGGCATCAATTCTTTGGCAGTCAGCTTTCTTTATGGTCCAGCTCTCACTCCCGTACATCACTACAGGAAAAACCATAGCTTTGACTATTCGGACTTTTGTTGGCAAGGTGATGTCTCTGCTTTCTAAGATGCTGTCAAGGTTTGTCATCGCTTTCCTCCCAAGAAGCAGGCATCTTTTAATTTCGTGGCTGCTGTCTCCATCTGCAGTGATCATGGAGCCCAAGAAAGTAAAATCCATCACTGCCTCCATATCATTAAACATGTTTCATGTTTGATTAAACAAAGGTGTTATTGGCTCCCCATAACTAGTCCCAGTCAGCACTCTGGCAGCTGCATTTTGAACCAGCTAAATTTTCCAAACCATCTTCAAAGGCAGCCCCACTGGGACATGTCATTATTATTTATTTAATTAAAATATTTTCACTCCATCTCTCTCTTTAAAAAGAACCCAAGGCAGCTTACATAATTAAAACACAATATTTAAAGCAAAAACATAAGTATATAAATGCTAAAAAAGGATTAAACAAATACCACATGAAAGTGAACAAAAGCAACACGAAAAACATATTCAGAACAGTAAGGCACAACCACCAATTTAAAACCTCACTCAGGCAGCCAGTTATTTAGAGAAAGCTTGCCTAAAGAGAAAAGTCTTCACCTGCTTGCGGAAGGACAGCAAAGATGGGGCTAGCCTAGATTCCCATGGGAGGGAGGTCTAGAGTCTGGAAGCACTGACAAAGAAGGGTCTCTCCCGTGTCCCTACCAAGATCACTTGTGAGGGTGGTGGGACTGAGAGAAATGCCTCTCCTGATGACCTTGACACCCGGGCAGGCTCATGAAGGGGGACACAGTCCTTGAGATCGCTTGGACCCAAACTAGATTGGAATACGGTACAGTAATCTAAACAGGATGTAACTAAAGCATGTGTCACTGTAACCAAATCAGACATCTTGAGGAACAGGCGCAGCTTGTGCACTCATTTTCACTGTGGCAATCTTTCTCTTTGACCCATCTCCCTTTTGAATGAACACAATAATCAACAAAATAATAAAATATGGAGATTTTATCAGGAAGGAGGAATATCTTGTAGGGTTAAAAATATCTCAGAATACTTATTTAAAACACTCTGTTGGACTTAGTTAGGTCATTAGCTATTTTAGCTTTATTACTCAATTGGTGGGCACTAATAACACTGTAAAGGAGTGCTAACCAAAATGTCTAAAATGCAAATGAACAAATGAATGGCCAAATCCAGGAGCAAAAGAATGTCCACAGCATTCAAGTAGGAATGTCCTTCAATCAAAGCCTCATCTTCAGTGGAACACACCTGGCAAAAATAATGAATTCAGTCCTGAATGAATGAACTGTGAAGAGTACAGAGTAGGAGTAGGAAGTGACTGAACATGAGCTGGAATGAGACTGTTCCTACAGTAATTTGTTTAATTTGGGTGTTGTTGTTTTTAGAGAGTGGAAGGGAGGGTTCAAAAAAGAGACTTAGCACAGATAAATATCTTGTGCTGGCATTCTTAATATAATTCTACAGTTACTGTATTATTTAATATTTTGAAAGCAAGCTGTCATTAGCCCAAGTTATTTACATCAGCTTTACCCATGCTAGCATGTTTCAGATTTTTGGAATGCAATTCCCATCATCCCTAGCCAGTAACACTTTTGATGGGAGTTGTGGTCCAAAATGTTTGGAGTCTGTGCAGTTAGGGAAGCCTGCTTTAACTCCACAATAATGGAATGGAAACATTTTTAATACTAGAGAAGACTACTAAGGAATCCTTTCCTGACTCTGTGGCAGAAACAGCTGGCTGGATAGCCCAGTGAGTTATATATCTGACCATGTGGTAAGAATTTGGGAGTTCTCTGCTATGCCTCCTGGGAGAAGAGCCAGCCTGTATAGCCTAGGGCAAGCTGAGTAGTCCCAGAGAACCCCCAGAAGAAAGGGATGGTAACCCATTTCTGAGTGTTCTCCACACTGAAGAGCCTGGAAAGAGGAATTGTCGGTTGTTGTTGTTATAGTGAAAATATAATTTTTACTGTATTTGATATCCACATCACCGTCCACATTAACTGGTTCATTTCTTCTTTGCTTTACAAATGCTTGCTACTTTGTTATTTCAGATTGCTTCTATACGACAACAATATGAAACCAAACTTAGAGGTCTGATGCCAGCATCTTTGAGACAAGAACTTGAAGACACAATTCTTTCACTCAGATCCCAGGTAAAATTTAAAATTCATACGTTTTGCTCCTTGGCAGCCAGCTTCTCTGGCAATTTGGCTGTTGAAAGACTTGATAGGGAATTTAATAGCATGCTGGTGAAAGCAGCCATGCTTCACCATCATCAGCGCATAGACCTAGTTTCTTATCAGTATTTATTTATTTATTTATTTATTTATTTATTTATTTATTTATT